CCCTGCGCGCCGCGGCCACCGAGCGGTGGTTCTGCGCCCACACCGGGCGCACGACGCGCATACAGCGGTCCAGGCTGATGGCGCTGAGCAGGAAGCCGCTGGCGAACATGTTCAGGAAGAACACGGACGAGTGCAGCTTGCAGAAGGCCGTGCCCAGCTCCCACGAGTGCCCCACAGCCAGGAAGTAGGTGAAGAAGGGCAGCGAGGCGCAGGCCAGCAGGTCGGACAGGGCCAGGTGCAGCGCCCAGGTGGTAACCACGGTCTGGCGCATGCGGCAGCCCACCACGAAGACGATGAGGCCGTTCTCCGCCAGGCCCAGCAGCGCCGCCAGCCCGTGCAGCGTGACCGACGCGTGGTCCATGTAGCGCAGGCTGGAGTTGCCGTGGGCCTGCAGCTGGCTCATCTGCTCCAGGACGGGGCACAGCGGCTTCAGGGAGGCGTTGGCCATGGCGGGCCTGCGGGGCGGGAGGGGCTGAGCCGGCTGCGGGGACGCTGGGCGGGGTTCGGGGGTCTGCGGCCCTCAGACTGCGGAACGAGCTAGGCCGGGGGAGGTCACACGGGAGCAGTCTCCGGAGCGGCTGCAACGCTGTGCGGACGTTCCGCGTGGGGAGCCCCGGGAGGACCCCGAGGGAACCGCGATCGAGTCGCCTGTGCCCTGCTTGGAGCAGACGCGACTGCGCGTCGTGGGGGCCAGCGCTTCCCACGCCCGAGATGGTAGCCCGCACAGCGGCCAGGCCGGGGAGGGTGAGCGTGAGGGCTGGAGCGGGAACGTCAGTGGGGACCTGGAGACTGCGCTCCTGCTGCCTCCCGGAGGGAACAGCCCCCGCCCCGCATCCGCCGCTGAGACCCTGGCCGAGCGCCCTGCACTCACCACTTGGCGAGGTCGCTCCCCTCCGCCCACCCTGGCGGAGCCGGGCCCTGGCCGCTGCCCCTCACCTGGACTCCGGCAGCGGCAGCGACATGCAGCCAGGACAGTCCAGGGACAGCGAGCTGAGGAGGAAACGCTCGCTGGGGTGTGTGCTTGCTCGTGTGGGCGGGGACATTGAGGGGCGCCGTCCCCCGCGCTGTAGACCCATTTGTGCTGCCCGCCCCGGAGCAGGCTGCTGCTCCCGACGGGGTACCAGCGGGGCGTCACTGCGCCGGCCCAGGGAGGACACCGCTCCACCCTTCCAGGTCTCTGGCGGTACAGAAGAGTCCCGTCCTCCCGGCCGAGGGAACCAGGGTGGCCTGGAACCTGGCGGTGTCTGTTCACAGGGAGGCAAGGCCCGGCATTGGGTTAGGGTTCCAAAGTCAGCCTCTTGCTGGGTGCCGTGGTGCCCGTCTGTAATCCCAACACTTTAGGAGGCTGAGACAGGAGGTTCGGAAGTTCGATGCCAGTCTGGGTAACTTAAACCTGGTCTCCAAATAAAAAGGGATAAGGATGTAGCTCAGGGCTCCATCCCCAGGACTGCAAAAAAAACTGCTTTAAAAAGTTTTTAAAGGGCCGGGGATTTAGCTCAGTGGTTCTGCCACCTGCCTTGCAAGCACAAGGA